TTTTTTTTTTTTTTTTTTTTTTTTATCTGATAAAAGAAACAAAAACAAAATGATGTGTGTCCAAAAAGCTGAAACATATGCTCTCTTCACTTGTAAATTCCCAATCAAAGTAAATGTCTCAAAAATACTATAATTACCACTGCCCCACAAATCACTTCAGTCACATCTTACCCTCCCCTACGCTCTCTCTTCTCCTAAGACCCCCTACCCCAAACAAACAAGGCCTCCTCAGCTGACCAGAGTCCCAAAAAACCACTCCACAAACACAATGTACTGTTTCTTTCTTCTTCTTCTTCCTCTGTTTTCCCCCATTTTTGCCAAGAAAGTTGCTCCCAATTCCATGCTTCCCTTTGAAGCTGAGACTCTTTTCAAGATCATGGAGTCCATGTCCTCTGACCAAAACTGGAGGGTCTCTTATCCCAACCCTTGTCAACCTGGCTCCTCTTGGCCTGGTTTGGAGTGCAAAGCAGCTCCCACTAACCTCGCCCTGCTTCATGTCTCCAGGCTTGACTTTGGAACCTCCCCAAACCCCACTTGTAAACCTACTGCCACTTTCCCTTCATTGATATTTGATCTCCCTCACCTTCAGTCTGCCTTCTTTTTCAATTGCTTCACTCACACCAACACAAACCTCTCTGTTTCCCCCACAGCCTTCACAAATTCCTCCTTGCAACAGCTGAGCCTCCGATCGAATCCCGCCTTGACTGGTCCGATCCCGACTCGACTTTCTTCCCTCAAGTCCTTGAAGATCCTCACATTGTCTCAAAACTGTCTTTTTGGCTCAATCCCACCGGAGATCTTCGGCTTGGTGTCGTTGGTGCACCTTGACTTCAGCTACAATTTGCTCACAGGCAGCATACCAATCCAGTTGGGTAACCTCACAAGCCTTGAAGGGCTGGACTTGAGCTACAATTCACTCACTGGACCAATCCCAACCACAATTGGGCAACTGGGTCAGCTTCAGAAACTTGACTTGAGCTCTAATTCACTCACAGACACCATCCCTGATAGCATTGAGAAGCTGAATTCATTGGTGTTTTTGGCTTTGAGTAGCAACCAATTTGGTGGGCACTTACCAAAAGGATTAGGAAAGCTGCAGAACTTGCAGTACTTCATCATGGATGACAATCCAATGCAAATTCCTCTGCCGTTGGTATTCAGCAAGCTAGTGAAACTGCAAGAACTCAGGCTTGCAAGTTCTGGCTATTCTGGCAACATCCCACCAAGCTTCTCACAGCTTAAAAACTTGACCACTTTATCATTGCAAAACAACCACTTAACTGGCCAAATCCCAGCTGAATTCAGTGGCCTATCTCGCATTTATCACCTGAATCTCAGCAGAAACTCCCTCAGTGGCACTGTGCCTTTCAGCTCAAGTTTCTTGAAGAGATTGGGCAAAAACATGGATCTCAGTGGAAATCCAGGCCTTTGCGTTAGCCCTTCTCAAGCCACTGTCCAAAAATTTGGTGTCAATGTCTGTGGAACCAATCAGGAAGATGGCTCGTTGATCCAACCAATGAACCAATCTCCAGCTAAACCAAGCTTATGTAATCCATTTGCTTTTGTTACTTGTTTGTTCTTGTTTAAATTGATTCACCATGTATAAACTCGGGTTTAAATGTCGTGTTTAAGGTTTAGTTATTGATATATATTAAATTTACAGTAACCCATCGAATTAAGCAACGAGTTCTACCGGTTTCTAAACTTAGTTGACCGTTAATCGACTCGACGAAAACACGTTGGAACAGAACCAAGAACTCAAGATCCAAATTCAAAATGGGATCAAGTCAAAGTTGGAGTATCCAAAGGACAGTATGAAAAGGAGTCTCTGGAGTGGATTAAGTTGATCAAAATTCCACCATAAAGTTAGTGTTGGTTTCAAAACGACATGTCGCTCTCAGTGATGGTTCCACACGCTTGTGCAAAATTCGACAGTCTGTCTGACATTCATTTGATCACACAAGCCCTGTGCTTTCTTTGAATTCCTTAAAGGCTGGAGCTCTCCCAAATAAGGCATCAAATTTAGTGTTATACGACATCGTATTTATAGTAAGCCTCGAGAGAATGACTTATAAGTCTAACATGAATGGGACGGTTTTTCTCGATGTTTAACGCCATATGTTCTTTTCATAGTACTCGAAGCTCATCACGTCTTTGCATCTTTTCGATGAGAAAATGCTACTCTTCTGACATTTTCTCGAAAACCCTACAAATTTTACCTGATTGAAGTATTCGTAGCTCCCATTGCACTCATTGACTTCACCGACAATCATAATTCTCGGTTCATAGTATTATAGCTCACTTCCGTCGTAGCTCCAGTTAATTTTTTACCCTCTTCCCTCGAACTCGGAGGTTTAAACCGAGAGGCTACCGAGACTAGGATCATAATATAACCTTTTAAAATTACATGAAAAGGGAATACAAAAATTTACAAAAAAAAAAAGCAACAAAGTGGGGCTTGGTCGGACAGAAACAGTAGCAGTTGATGAAACAAGACGCTCAAAAAGAAAACTGAGTCCAAAAAAGGACACTTGAACATTGTAAGAGAGCTGGAAAGCACCTACCAACTCAAAACAAGTTTTACTTTTAACATTTTACCATACACTGTTAAAAAAAATATATATATATAGTACCACACATATTCCACTACTCTCCTCTGTAGTTTTTACTTTCTGAAACTTTTACCCTCTTTTCACCAGAATTTTCTTTTACTTTTTACCTCATTTCACTGCAAAATCCATCCATTGATTTGGGTTTTAAATATATTAAGTTTACCTAATTGAATTATGTTTGTATTAGCTACGAAGGAACGAATGACGTTGAGAAGTGTAACAAAACAAGCCCACTATTATTCGATTTGACCCGTTATATGTAGTTCTCAGCCTCAAGTAGGGAGATGTTTCCACACCCTTATAAGAATGTTTTGTTCTCCTCTTCAACCAATATGGGATCTCACAATCTACTTTCTTGGGGGCTAGCGTTCTCATTGGTACACTGTTCGGTGTTTGGCTCTGATACCATTTGTAACAGCCAAAGCCCATTACTAGTAGATACTGTATGCTTTTGCCGGTTACGTGTCACTTTCAGGTTCACAATTTTAAAATGCATTTAACGTTTCCATACTTTTAAAACGAATGTTTTGATCTTTTCTCGGTAGGTACTATTTTGAAGTGGGAGAACCAACAAAGCCCTGAAAATAAGGTTTAAAAAGGGCCATTCATGATCCTACGCATCCCCACGCTGAAACCCCTAGAAAAGGGAAAAAGCAAAAGTAAATGCAGTTTTGCTTTGCATCGCTCAGGCTATCCATTATTAGCCCATTCATTGATGAGAGCTTAGAGGAATAGTAAGGTTTATGAAAGAACAACACAGAAACCCCACGTCTGAGCAGTTAAAGTGTTCATTATTTTCGAGATATGTCCCGAGAGTTAAAATATATGTCTTAGGGTGTACACGAATTAAGTTCGAAAAATCTTTTAGACCAATTCGAAATTTAGATTGATTGAGTTAGTGACACGAACAACCTAGATAGAGTTTACGAATTGAGTTGTCGAGTTGCTCTCGACCAAAATGTTAGAATTAATCTGAATCTCCTAACTTGACACGAATATTAAATTGCCTCTGGTTATAAAAACTACCTTATAACCAAATATCTTAGAGAATAGTTGATCATAGTATACTGCACAATGCTCTCGTACCTAATACATCGTGCACCGTCAAAAACGCCTTAATATTCACTTTTAAAAATTAACCAAATTAAGGAATAACCGTCGTAATAACAAATTTTTACTCTATAGTTCGGAAACATTTATCTAATAGAAATTTTAATTTTTAAAATTTTGGAATTTCAAATCATACTCGACCGCAGTCCAAAATTCACCGTTCCAGTTCCTCTCACTCATGGCTCCCAAATTCCGCATCAACCAGCTCCGAGCTCTAAGCTCCACCGTTTTCCATGGCATCGGAGATTGCCATTATTATCTGCATGCAAATCGATCTCCGCAAACTCTGTACCATTTCAGGCGCTTCTCTGATGCGTCGTCTCCGCCGCTATCTCCCGCCGCTTCTTCTTCTGCACCGCCTCAAAATGCAGAGCTCCAAAGCACGAATCGACCTGAGGAGATAGTAAGAAATGCTTCTGCTACCTCGTCTGTGAATCAATTCGAGCTTGCTAAATTCTCCGCCATTGCCGACACCTGGTAATCGTCGAATTCTCTAAAAAAATTGCACTGTTTAGATGATTTCTTTTTGTTGAATTATTTTCGTTGTTTAGTTGGGATGGTTTCGGAGGAAATTAGGGTTTGATGATTTGGAAATTTGAAAGTATTTGGTATCTCACTGGGGTTCAATTCTTATTGCGAATGTACGGAGTATGATATTTCGACGGTTGGAGATTTTTGAGGTTTCTCTCCATTTTCCTGGAAATCAATCCTTTGTTACTTGGTTAGATTCTTTTACACTTACACTTACACACACACACACACACACACACACATATCTGTGCAACGAAACTTTCACAATATTTTTTATCACTGCACAACGAATCGAAATGCTTGAAGGTTCTATATTAATGGCATGTATAACCTTTATTGATACTTATTCAAAAGTTAACCAATTCACGTTAAGCTTTTGCTCTGCGAATGTATTCATGCAAGTGTCTGAGAACGGAGTTTTGATGGTTGTTCGAGATCATCGTTTAATTTGATATGATCTCGATTGCATATGCTTTTTGGATCATATCTTGGTCGCACATTCTTTTGATAGTTAGTGTTTCTCTGTCTTTGGTTTGGAGAAGTAAGAAAGAGTATTCAACAATCATTTTATTTGTATAGTGCTATATGTAAAGTATCTCATTTGTTTCTTCATCAAAAAAGTATCTAATGTGCTGGATAACTTTCAAATTCTCTATGTCCCTAATATCATCCTTGTCTTGCTATCATTTTTGTTCATGCTCAGTTCTCTTTGAATATATTTCATTCTACAACATAGTTCATGCCATAATAAGCATTAGAGCACTCGGTCACTTTGTGAAGACTGAAGCTGTGATTTTTAGGTGGGACTCTGAAGGGCCATTTAAGCCATTACATGCGCTGAATCCTGCAAGAGTCTCGTTCATCAGATCCACTCTTTGCCGGCATTTCAGGTACTTCTCTGGTTTATTTTCAACGGCAACTAAACCCCCCGCCCCCCACTTTTATGCTGGGTCTTCCAAGCACATTTGAATGTTGGTTCCAGTAACTACCATGATGGTTGGCTACTGACTTTAAATTTAGCTCTTTTGGGTTTTTACCCAAACCATGTAGATACGAAACCTTTTTAGTTATTTTTAGGACAAACCACCACCACCATTCTATAGCAGGATAGATGATAATTTTAATTAAGAACAACACAATGCATGGATAGCAATGTATTCTTCCTAGACCAAGGCCAACTGCATAAAAATTGGGTCCATGCATATTGATTATATATCTGTTTTATATTAGTTAGCAGTATTCAAAACCTGATTGCTTATTGATGGTTCTGGTTCTTTCAGTTGTGCTGAAAATATGAAACTGAGATTCTTCTTAGAATTCTAGTAAAATTATATGTATAGAATGGTATTAGACATGATATGCTTTTAATATCTAGCATGTTTTTGGTTCCTGAAATATAAAGTTTACAATTCAGTGCAAATACTAGTGAATTTGATTTTTTTACACCTCATACTATTCCAGGAATTCTGAATCTCTGATTGGTTAAATTTGTTGCAGGAGGGACCCTTGTTCTATTAGGCCTTTTGAAGGACTGAAAATTATTGACGTTGGTTGTGGTGGTGGAATTCTCTCTGAGGTCTCTAGTTTTCTTTTTGGTCTTGCTGTACTCTTATTACAAAGGGAAATTTTATTGTCCAGTACAACATGGATGTTTTTTATTTTCTTCATAGATACCATTTGTCTAGTTCCCGGAGTTTGGGGTTTTCCAAATTCATTTCCCCAATTTATATCTGTTAACTAAAGCAATAATTCTTAAATCTATTCTTTGGAAATGAGTCAATAATTATTAATAATAGATTTACAAGTTGTCAACTTATTAGTACAAAAGCCACACAATTTCTCAGTGAATTGAGCTCATAGTATCAAACAATTTTTAAAGCACTTGTAGATCATATCTGTTGGTGTAGCTCAGCTTTTATTCATTCAATTCCCTATATCTTCTTCTTGTCTTATAGAGTCATAAGCTGTCAAAACTGTAATAACAAAAGCTTTTAGATTTCGTATTTTATTGTATGTCATTTCTGTCAGCGTATGTCATCTTTGTACTTTAGAAGTCCTTTCCCCCCCCCCAACCCCCCTTTCCTTTGTTCAAGTATAAAGACAAATTTGAAGTATGACATTCAGTTGAGGTTAGAGGAGAGAAAATACCATCCATGTGTGCTGTAAAATAATATTCTCCCTCAATACAAACTTTGTAGAAGCTCCAGTCCTGTGGCTGGTAGCTGAGCTGTCCTGTCCCATATTGTCAAAAGAAATAAGATCAGTCCAAATTAGAGTTAAAAAACTGAGCCCTTCAGTTCTTGATCCCATGTTCAATATCTTTCTTTTTCTGTTATTTTAGCCTTTAGCTCGAATGGGAGCAACTGTGACAGGAATTGATGCTGTGGATAAAAATATCAAGATTGCCCGTGTGCATGCGGTATGGTTATTATTCTTGAAGTCAAACAAATTGTTTATTTGGCAAGATCTATGTAGAATTTAACATGGTGGTCTCTGGACATACTTGTATGTGCAGGACCTGGATCCTGTGACATCAACAATTGAATATTGTTGTACCACAGCTGGTACGTGCAAAAACTTGATTTTCTCATCATGACCTCTTTCCTGCACTATCAAACCTCTGTTATTTTTATATCTATTATGTGTTTGAACTTCAGATGAGTTTGCCATGTTGTATAATTGAAAAATCTAGCAAAATTACCTTCAACTCCCTTTGAGAGTGCTATAAAACATACCAGATGCCTATCTTTTGGTTGACTACCTCCAACTTACTTGTTCTCTTCCAAAGGCATTACACCTTCTTCTAAGTAAGAGAGAGAGAGAGAGAGAGAGAGAGAGAGAGAGAGAGAGAGTTGTGTTACACTATTCTTATGACGGAAAAAGAGTGTACCATGCTCTTCTTATGGATACACGTATCTTCCACCTCTATTGTTTATCCATGTATGCTCGAATTATTTGTTTCACTTAGATCTCTTTAATTTTTCATTGAGAAATCCTATGCTTGTTATGCTTGTTTATCATTGAATATTGAATATTGAATATTCTACAATACTACTTTGTCACAGAAAAGCTGGTAGAGCAGCAAAAAGAGTTTGATGCTGTCATCGCCTCGGAGGTTTGCTCACACTCTCACTGAACATGTGGAAAATTGACTAGACATTATTTATCAAAATTTCTTCATAAACCTGGTTTCAAAATGCAACCATAACGCGAGCTGTACCCCTTTGGGGGCACTCCTTTTATTTGTTAGCCTGATCATACCCTTAGACTGCAATTAACTGTTAGATGCATATCCAAGCTCTTCTAAGCAAAACCTTTCAATAGGTAATTGAGCATGTGGCAGATCCTGCAGGATTTTGCCAGTCCTTGGCAGCATTGACAGTGCCAAATGGAGCTACAGTTGTTTCTACTATTAATCGTTCTATGAGGTCATTCGCAACTGCCATTGTTGCAGCAGAATACATTCTTCGTTGGGTATACTATTATCAACTTTCTTTTTTTCTAATCTAATTTCTCTTGAGGTCATACAGCTACTTTTATTATATTTTCTTATACTTACAGCTTCCTAGAGGTACACATCAATGGTCAAGCTTACTTATCCCTGAAGAATTGGTTCTGATATTACAACGCGCCTCTATTTCAGTAAGACTAATGCTTAAATTTTCATATGTTTATGTTCTTACTAATTCTTTCTCCAACATGCACTGTTTTCTATGTTCAAACACCCAATTCATGTATGATTGTTTTTTCCCTTAGGTGGAAGAGATAGCCGGATTTGTGTATAATCCCTTAACCGGCCAGTGGTCCCTTTCAGATGATACCAGTGTAAATTACATCGCATTTGGTACAAAAGTCAGCCAGACGACAGACTAACGAAGGTGTAATCTTAGTTCTCACGCAATAGGTATTATTTCTGTCGCTAAATTAATTTTGCCCTGAAAACTGAATGGTTACTCCCAATCAGCTTCCCTCTAAACATTCCATAAAGCTTCTTTTTGTTTGTGGCAATAAGACCTTTCAATCTCGTATAACATAAACCAAATTTGTTTGAGGTTTATGATCTTGGCAGACTCCTCATTTTGAGCACAAAAGGGAAGAAAAAATTGTTGTGAATTGCATTTGGTTGTGAATATTTTCCTTGGCATGGATATCGAGTACTGGATGGGAGCTGGGGTTGCAATTTTTTATTATGATTCCATGTCTATGCATTGTCTTGATAGATATATATATATATATGTTATATATACGGTCCTATTATTTTCTTTGTCGTTCAGAATTCATAATAGATGTTTTACATTATCATCGACCTTTTTGAGCCTCCCAAGACAGGGAACTCTTTCCAGAAGATACCAGAAGATAGCTCCTCGGGCTTCGGACAGCACATTACAAAGATTGGTTAATTTCATTCCCTATCTCCTCTTAATATTAATATATTTTCAACATCTTTTTTTACTCTATTAAAAAAAATTAATTAATTTTGTGACTTCAATTATAATATTTAAGCTAAATAATATGTGGGAGATATTTTTAATTATTAAAGACCATATTGAAATATTAAAATTAGATTATACCGAGAAATGAAAACTTTAAGATAACTATTTTTTTAATAGAATAATAAATAAATAAAAAATTACCCACGGGATGGGGAAGGAGTCCCCACCCCGTGAACGTCTCTAATCATACGACAAAATATATATATTTGATAAGAATATAATTAAAAATGAGAATAGACGTGAATAATAATACAAAAAATAAAATATCTCTGCTTTGGGAATAATTTTGAAAATTTCTTAGAAATGATCGTCAATATTGATATTAATAATATTCCTCAATTATGTGACAACATTGAGATTATATTTTGATCCAAGTTATTATCCAAAAGTTACGTGTTTGAGTTGCTTGTATCCCAACCAAAAATTCTTTGTTTTATCCCAAGCTTCATTATTTCTTATTCTATCCATTTTATACATAAATGAGTTCATATTTTATTTTTTTTCTGGAAATATAAATATTCAAAAAACGACCGAAAAAGTACACGTGGCATGGGCTTACAGTTATCCGACTAGTTGCAAAGAACCTTCTGACATCTTTAAAATGCGAGCCAAAGGAGGAAGACGAAGTTTGTTAGCGAAAGAGACCAAAAGGATTTTACAGAAAGGGGAAGTAAGCAATCAGAGAAGCTACGTACGAACTTTTGAAGGCTCGTTGGATTACTTGCCTTCTTGTTCAGCTGTGATCCTCACTCGTTTAGATTCCCAATTCCGTCGATCGGGAACGGAAACAGATGTCCTCCGACATGGAATCGTCGTCGGCGATCGTTGCTCGTAGTCGCTTGGCCATTCTGGCTGCGCATCTGAGCGCTGCTGCCACCTTGGAACCGTCGGAGATGGCTTCGTCCCTCGTGACTCATTGCGTGTCAGCTCGGACTACGGTTCCGCCGCCTGAAATGTTGAAGGGTTCTTTGACGGTCGTTGATGAGAGGACTGGGAAGAGGTACCAGATCCAGATATCTGAAGATGGCACAATAAAGGCCAATGACTTGAAGAAGGTACATCAACTGAATCGGTTTATTCATTTGGATGTGTTTGATGACGTTCTTGTTGTGTTCTTATCAATCTTGAAATCTTCGTGGTGTTAATAGTTGTAGGCACCAGTTTTAGTCTAATGAACTTGCTCGGAATGCTTGCAGATAACTACAGGACCAAATGACAAGGGACTTAAGCTGTATGATCCGGGCTATCTCAACACTGCTCCGGTTCGGTCATCGATCAGTTATATCGATGGCGACGAGGGAATTCTTAGGTACAGAGGCTACCCGATCGAGGAATTGGCTGAGAGTAGTACCTTTGTGGAAGTTGCATACCTCTTGAGTAAGTCCTAGAGGAGCTATCATAATATCAATTTTGTTGGTCTGAAATCATTGATATAATGTCTGGTTTGTTTCAGTGTATGGGAATTTGCCTTCTCAGAGTCAGTTGGAAGACTGGGAATTTACTATTTCTCAGCATTCGGCCGTACCACAGGGACTTTTGGTACGATCCTGTCGTCGTATTGACTTTTCCTTCACATATTTCTTTATATAAATTTCAATGTCTGAATGACTTATTACTGAATGACTTATTATTGATAGAGTTGAATCTCTGTCTATCTCAATAGGATATCATTCAATCAATGCCTCATGATGCACATCCCATGGGTGTTCTTGTTAGTGCAATGAGCGCGCTATCTATCTTTCATCCAGATGCCAACCCTGCCCTTAGAGTGAGTTCGTTTTTTCTGGTTCTCAGTTGTTTATTGCATAATTATGTTACAGGGTATAGCCTGAAATTTTCGTAACTTCTTGTTCATATGGAAAAAAGGGAAGTGAATTGGCTCTCTTCTTTCCCTTCTAGTTGTGAGATCCCACGTTGGTTGGAGAGGGAACGAAGTATCCCTTATAAGGGTGTGGAAACCTCTCCCTAATAGACGCCTTTTAAAACCTTGAGGGGAAGCCCTTGAAGGGAATGCCCAAAGAGGACAATATCTGCTAGCAGTGGGCTTGAGTTGTTACAAATGGTATCAGAGCCAGACACCGGGCGGTGTGCCAACGAGGATGCTGGGCCCCAAGGGGGTGGATTGTGAGATTCCACGTTAGTTGGAGAGGAGAACGAAGCATCCCTTATAAGGATGTGTAAACCTTCCCCTAATAGACACGTTTTAAAATCTTGAAGGGAATGTCCAAAGAGGATATGTGTGGAAACTCCCCCTGATAGACACGTTTTAAAACTTTGAAGAGAATGTCCAAAGAGGATAATATCTGCTAGCGGTGGGCTTGAGCTGATACAGTTCGGTTCCAACAAGGAAGGAATGGGAAACCATAGGTTCCCTGTGGCTTTTCTAGAAAAGCTTATTAGGGCATATTATTAGGGCATACTATGGTGAAAGTTCATGCTACCTTCATTATCTTTTGAAGCAGCAGATTAAAATGGCAATGAGTGGATGCGAAATCCATTCCAAAAAGGGAAGCAAACCTTCATTGACAGAAAATTCACATATTCGTCAGTCAAAAGTCCCATTTATAACCTAAGTTCGGCCTTTTATAACATTACAATATGTTGGTCTATTCTCCCTTCAATCAAATATGAACATTACGCCGGGAGTTTTATGAAAAAAGCCAAAGCCTCTTATCGGATTTCAACCGATGACTTGCACCTTACCATGGCGCTACTCTACCACAGAGTTAAATAGACATTTAATTCATTCTCTCAATAAGCCACGAGCCACGATGTCATTGTTACTATGTGTATCTATCTTTGTAGGCTTGTGATTAATGTGAAAGGACTTTTGTATTTAGTTGTGCATCATTGTTTTGTTGTAGGGACAAGATCTTTACAAGTCTAAGCAAGTGAGAGACAAACAAATAGCACGAGTTATAGGGAAGGTATGCTTTCTATGATCATTTTATCAGCTAAGATAATTTTATTAGCGTTTGGGTTATGATCGTGTTAATTTGTTTGGTTTTGCTTGCAATTTAATTTTGTGTTAAGTGGTATTTTCTCTGAATATATAGGCTCCCACCATTGCAGCAGCAGCTTATCTTAGACTGGCTGGAAGACCTCCAGTTCTTCCTTCCAGCAACCTTTCTTATTCGGAGAATTTTCTGTACATGCTTGATTCTTTGTAAGTATATACTAAGTTATTGGACACTTGTGTTAGGTTTATAGCATTGTTCTTACCATCATATTCCAAGAGAAAATATGAACTGAATTTAGGAATTGAATTATCTATTTCAGGGGTAATACGTCTTATAAACCGAACCCTCGGCTAGCTCGAGTCATAGACATTCTATTCATCCTTCATGCAGAACATGAAATGAACTGCTCTACATCTGCTGCTCGTCATCTAGCATCAAGGTAGACAGCTTCTACCACCAATAACATTTAATTAGTGCATAGTCTGATTCTTGCTCTTTTTGGCTTTTCAGTGGTGTTGATGTGTTCACTGCTCTTTCTGGAGCTGTGGGAGCACTGTATGGCCCTCTTCATGGTGGGGCCAATGAGGTATGCATGAGAGAATTTTTATGACATTCTGGATTACTTTTGGTTTATTTCTTCTTTAGTTTTCCTGATCCTTGTAGGGTGTGCTTAAAGTGGTTTCCTTTTCTTAACCTGATTGTAGGCTGTGCTTAAAATGCTGAGTGAGATTGGAACTGTTGAGAACATTCCAGGATTCATCGAGGGTGTTAAAAACAGGTAATTGCCACTTTGATCTCTTAATGAAGTGTGAAAGGACTGGTAAAGTGGTTATATTGCTCACATTACTTAGTTCTCCAGGAAAAGGAAGATGTCAGGCTTTGGGCATAGGGTGTACAAGAACTATGATCCTAGAGCTAAGGTCATAAGAAAACTTGCGGAAGAAGTATTTTCCATCGTCGGTCGGGACCCTCTCATTGAGGTATTTGTCTTGGAACTGTTATGTTTCCATGTGAAAATGCAATCTGTTTACAATTCCTCTAACAACGTTCCTCATGCCATATAGGTGGCTGTTGCTCTGGAGAAGACTGCTCTTTCAGATGAGTATTTTGTGAAGAGGAAGTTATATCCAAATGTTGACTTTTACTCTGGATTAATATATAGGTAGGGAGGTGGATATCTTAGTTTTCTAATGAAGGGATGTGAGTCGATTAACCGAGGATGTGTTTGATCACAGGGCTATGGGATTTCCACCTGAGTTTTTCACGGTGCTGTTTGCAATCCCTCGAATGGCTGGATACTTAGCACATTGGCGAGAATCCCTGGATGATCCTGACACTAAGATAATTAGACCCCAGCAGGTTAGCTCCCTTCTTACTGATCCCGGGAATCGAGACATCTGTCCTAAGTTGGCTAAAAGTCGACTTCGTAAACTAAAGATCGGTCTGATTTCCTTCGCATAATGCAACCAATTAGTTAGTTCTGTTAACCTTATTCTTGGTGCATTCATGAAACTCAGGTCTACACCGGGGAATGGCTGCGTCGTTATATTCCACCCAAAGAACGTCTCCTACCGGCAAAAGCAGACAGGCTCGGTCAGGTTTCAGTTTCGAACGCCTCCAAGCGCCGTCTGTCTGGATCAGGGATCTAGGCTGTTTGGAGAGAATAAAACGATGCAAGATTGCAAGGAAAACAAGACTTGTTGGTTGGTCCAAGCACTGCCTGAATCTGATGAACAAAGTTGGATAGTAGAATTGTAGAGATATAGAAGACAGATATTTCACGAATAAGTTTCTTGTTTTACTAAGATGGTGCAATTCTTGTAACTTCCACTTCCAGCGGTTTGGAAGAACTTCTGTTGTAACCTTATTATATTTTCTTCTTTCTCATAGTAAGATGAAAAAAATGGGTTCTAAAAGCTCAATTCCAAACCTCACTTCTCATACCCTTAGCATTCTTCTCTGTTTTCACTCTCTCATGGTCATCATGTCAACTATATGATGCTAACTCTGAACATTGTCGAGGTCTAAACCACATTCAAAAAGCTGGCTTTGGCAGGACACCTTTCCAACATGAACCAAAAAGAAAATGTGCCATTGTATTGTATGATCTTAAAGGTCACAGCCTCTTATAGAGCTCTGAAGACTGACTTATCTTGGCTTAAAATTGACTGCCTGTCGTTCAACTCTGGAGGCTACAATCAATGGGAACCATAAACGTCCACTCAATTATTGAAACAACATGATTGAAAGGTTGAGTAAACAAAAATTCAGATGAAGCCCCAAAATTCGGTAGAAGGATGCATCAATTCCAGAGACCTCTTAAGCATCCTCTGGATATTCTTCAAACGAGGAATCTCGATGTTTTAAGTGAATGAACTTCTAAAGTAATGTTCATAATATTCTAAAAGACTCAATGCGTATTTATCAAAACAAGATTAGCTATCATTCTCTTCTTGATTGGAAGATCTGATCATCACGTCATTAAAATAACATACCACATCACGAAGTTCATAAGGAGAAAAAATGTGTAAAATAAACAATATTGCATTAAAATGGAAAACAACTACGAAATGTAAAGTTATTCACAGGGCATGACTTTTCAGAAGTGTCTGGAGATGTGAAATAACTAAATTAAAGATAAGATAGCCTTGGAGCTGAGTGAAAGAACAGATCCTTACAATTGGTAAAAAAAACAAAGCAAAGCTAATGAAGGTGCTACCACTTTCGGGCCATATGAGTGGTAGTACTCTTAGAAGTTGAAGCGGAATCCCTTCCAGAAAACATTGGCTTCTTTGTGGAAGGAATACTGCAGATTAGAGGGGAACGTGAACGTCAGCATTGAGTTAGTGAACAGGTGGTTTCAAAATCATTGAGTTATAGCGCTAAGAAATGCAACTTACTCACAAGTCTTCTGCACTGCATTTCTTCGCCAGGCTTTTATATTTTTCATCTCTTGACTGTCCAAAGAAGGGAAAGAATCAGTATTGGAGAACTTTCACTGAACATAGATGGAAAAGGGGCTTTGTTTCATGCATGGAGGGGTAGGTACAGTATATAAATGAGAACTAGTGTTTCGAGAAATTTTGTCAGGTTGGGCTCGTGACAAAGGATCTACAAATACGTGCTTCCATGATTAAATTACAAATCGGCTAGTTAGAACAACATCCATTTGCTTCTGTTCGGAAGCATGCAAAAAGCAGCCGCTCAAGAATTATTTTAGTAAAGAAGCTTTCAAATAGATAGAAAAAGCCATTTCATTAATGTCTTTGACCAGCCGATCAGATTCTAAGCGGAGAAGGATCAAATTTAATGTTTAATTTTCTTTGAGGCACATTAGACAAATTCACAATATTCTCAGACTGGCCACTCTGAGATATCAATTCAATAGCCTTCTTTTCTTTCTTTCTTTTTTTTTTTTTTCCAGAGAACAAATTCAATAGTCTTACCTCTGAAGCACTTCTATTTTTGACTTCTTCAGCAGCTTGTTCTTAGTATTTGTCACGTTGGAGCCATATCCAGCTGCTAAGAAAATCACGAGAAAAATAACATGTTAATAATTTCTCTTTTCATGGTGCCAGCCGCAGCCTTGCCAGATTTAAAATCTCTATTACCCAGAAGCCAAGCCAAATGTAAGGAGCGATAGATTTTACCTCCAAAACTTCTCTTATTGCTTGCAGGGGGAACCTTACTGCAAATCTGTATTTGACGACTTTGTTTCCCTAAAAATGTTCAAGACAATATTCAAAATATCATATGTTAAGAAAATATTGTGAGTGTACTAGTAAGGTATGCTATGGGTTATACGTGGGGGATTAGTAAGGACATAATGGTAATTAGTTAGGAGGTGTCTTGGTAATAAATAGAAGTGTTAAGGATCTTGAAGGTGTAATCATTTTAGTGAAGTGTCTAGTGCGGGACTTGGCAGAGAGATATCCCTCCAAAGGCTATTGTTATATAGTAGTTTCTCTTCGCCATTGCAGTCCGTAACAAATATTTACTTGATATAACAATAAAATTATTGATTCCTAAAATATAGGTAAAAAATCAAGAACATCTATTCATAATGAACCTATAGCATACCTCTAATATCAGACAATTGATGGGAGTGGGCATCAATGACCAGATAATGCGTGATACATCACATGATCTAGCTATTTGTTAGTCTAAATTTAAAATTGTGAGGAAATCCTATAGCGAGTGAAAATAGAATAGAATAGAACATACGAGCATTTTCCTTTAGGTAGCTTTGCTTTATTCGATCTGCAGCTTCGCTCTCATTCTTTTCTATGTCCTTCATTTTCGCCTGAAAGTAGATAGTTTCATTTTAATGGTAATTCCTCAGATAGATCATTATCATGTCGACCATCATTCACTACTCAGATCTCAAAGTAAACAGCGGGAGAGAAGAAGTACAAGGAATGTTACCTCATACAATTGAATCCATCTAAATGCCACTTTTTTCTTCTGCATCCTCTCAGATACAATATTGGTATTTTCTCTACCAAATTGTCTTTCATAGAATTTTTTCCACAATTTATCTGTAACTGGAGTCAGATCTCTTCCCTAAAATAAATTCATGCTCAATTTAGCATATATACCAAAGAAACCAGATAGTTAAATAAGAAGCAAATTAATCCAATCTTACTTCTGAACTTTTCTCCACATGCATCAACTGATCAACAGTGCAATGTGGCAAAATCCGCTCTAGAAGATGTAAATCAGTTTCGCCAACATCCCCAAGAAACCTCAGATTATCTATAGCTTTGTAAACGCAAAGATCAACCAACGATGGAACTTTTCTTACTGGATACATCTCTTCTTTCTCAGGTTGCCAAGCTAAGAACAAGAAAGAAGAAAACAAACCGCTAAATTTACACAACAGCAAATCCTTTGAACAATAAACAAAATACTGAGTCGATAAACAAGTTGGTAAATATAGCTCAAGGTAACCAACTGCTCTACATGAAAAATCAAGCGTCTCATATATCAGCACTTCTTTCACCAAAAACTGGCCCTGAATTACTAAATTCCATACACTTCAAAAAGAAGCACCTGAATATTCATTATACATCTCTTACTTAGCTTTAAGCAACATGTCAGAATATAATAGAACAAAATAATTCCCTTATACCAATCCTAAATTCATCCGGTAGGTATTACAACGCAAGAAAAAACAGATCGTATTCAATAAAAAGAAAATGATGATCAGAGAAATCCTATTCGATCGTCCTAAAAAGAAAGCAGAAATTAAAAGAAAAGAGAAAACAAAAAGAAGAAATTGATTCAATTTCAATACAAATACAATACGAACTGCGATAGATCAAGAAATTGAGATCTCAAGGACCTTACCGACAGTCTGAGAAGACGGAGACGAGAAACGTTGAAACAGAAGCACGATCGTTGAACTAGATACGAACGAATTGGCCAGCAATCGTCATCTGATCATCTGGTAATTTCCCTTTTCTATGTTGCGATATTCTTCCCCAAGTTGCTATTTTGCGCAGTGATAAAGAATCCTTGGAAATAAAATATATAAATAAACGCAAGGAGGATCATATTTTTTAATTCTGCTCTTTAATTAATCATTTTACCCTTTTATTTATTTTATTTTCCGATAAATACCGATTATTTACTTTTATTTAAACATTCACAGATTTGGTCAAAATAAAATCACTTTAGAGATTTTTTTTTTCAAATTTAAATTCCATTTTAATTTTAGGCACGTTTTGGTTTCTTACTTTCAAAATTTTCATTTTAATCCCTATCCTTTTAAAAAGTGACAAATTTAGTCTATATTTATAAAATTTAAACATAAATTTCATATATAATTAAAAAAAAGTCAAACTGAATCGTTAAAATAAATAACCAAAATTATTTATCAATAATTAAATACGGTTCAAAATTATCCACATACCTAAAGAAATAATACCCACAAAATTAATTATCACCTAACAAACAAACAAAAAAAATTCAATTAACCGGTTAATATAACAAAATATCAAGTTTTTTTAAACTAAAAGTTAAATATTCAATTTTTTTAATTTAAAATAATCTCACATTAACCCACCGTTAAAAAAGAGTATGATTTAACTGAGATAAAATATATATCTTTAAAGTTTGAATTTTAGATAAAGCAATCTAGAATTTTAAACGTCAAAATACTTTTTTTTAGACGAAATAATAAAAAGAAAATTACCATATCATATATATATATATATATATATATATATATATATATATATATTGTTTTAAATTAAGTTTCTCAATCAAATAAAGTCAGCGATTACGACTTTGGTGGATTTATTTACTTATTTATTTTTTTAAAAATCGTTTTTGTATGATGTGATTCAATTCGTGGAAATTCCAGAAACTAAAATTTTAAAAATTTATTAGAAATTTAAATATTTGTGAATAACATGTATTTTTAATTTAACCAAAACTAATTATTGAACATAATTCCTACAAATTACTTAATATTATTTAATTAATAACTATCGCTATTTTTATTATTTATGAATAATTGTCAAACACAAATTTGAACTTCATGAACTGATCTTAAGAATAACTGGGCTATATATATATATTGATAAAATTAAATTAATTCATACAATTTTTTTTCTTTATCTGAAAATATTATAAAATAAAAAGACAAATATTTGACTTATACAAAGTCTCATGTTGTCTGATTAATTAGTTTTGTTTTGTTTTGTTTTGTTTTTTGAAATTACATTTAATGAGAAAAGTCAAAGGGTCACCTTAATGTACTGTCATCAATTCATCATTATCGTATATTGAGGGAAAAAAAACATCCGAACATTTAAAATATTATCGTATCTTTTTTTGTTAACTGAGATTCCCGTCGTTGCGTGCGTTCACCAATGACAGCCGTCCGACCAGGTAAGTCCTTTTTCCATTATGTTGTGCGGTTCTTATTCAATGACTTTCTTGCCCTTCCTTATATTACGTCATAATGATTCCAATAATAATAATAACAAACAAATAAATTATTAAATTATTAAATATTTATATTCAACCTTCTCTATTTTAAATAGATCTTAAAATTAGTTTCTATTTTTTTTTTTGTCAAAATTTATTAAATAACAATAATAATTTTTATGCCATTAATAAAACGTGAGAAAATAAAGCATCTTCCACATCTACTCGCAGTGAGCTTGGATAATTCCATTAAAAGTAAACTAAAATACCATAAAGATATAATATATATATATATATATATATATTAATAAAAATAAAAATAATGGGTCATCATAATTCAGTCAAATTGACTTAAAATTCATTCAAAGATCTCCCAAAGAAACATAAAATAGAAAAACATACGACTTTGTGCTCAGAATGGAGAGTTGAAAATTCAGCCATGGCTACAAGGGTCCGGTCAACGCCTTTTTAAGCCTCTCTTTTGACTTTTTCCACCACCGCCTCTATAAATCCCTCTCCCGTTTCTTCATTTTTCAGCTCAATCAAAATTCAAAATCCTTCTCATTGCTTCATCAATCCGCAAAATTTCCCTTCAACTTCTCGTTCTGTTCTTACCAGATTTCCCTTTCCCCTGTTTTTCTGGTTACATCACGGTGGCGACAACGGCGGCGCTGGCTGAAACTCCTACTGTTCAGTCAAATAAATGGAGGGCTCAGATGGAAGCTATGGCGGCGCACCGCCGCCATTTCTGACCAAAACATACGAGATGGTGGATGATCCGATGACCAACTCCGTCGTGTCATGGAGTAAAAGTGGTTACAGCTTCGTGGTTTGGAACCCACCGGAATTCGCCAAAGAATTGCTCCCAGTTTATTTCAAACACAACAATTTCTCTAGCTTCGTTCGTCAATTGAACACTTACGTAAGTTCCAACATCATAAAAACATCATATTCCAAAATCAAATCATCTTTTTCCCTGACATTGATTCCTCTGTTTTTTTAGTAAAAATCCTGAGAGAAAAATTCTGGTATCTCTTAATAGGGGTTCAGGAAGGTAGATCGAGATCAATGGGAATTTGCTAACGAGGGGTTCATAAGAGGACGAACCCATCTTCTAAAAAGCATCCATAGACGCAAACCAATCTTCAGCCATAGCCAGAGCCAGAGCCAGAGCCATGGCAGTGGAGCTCCATTGTCCGAGCTGGAGAGGCAAGAACTGGAGCTAAAAATCAAAACCCTTCATCAAGAAAAGACCATTCTCCAAACCCAGCTGCAAGAACACGAAAATGAAAAGGAACAAATCGGGCGTCAAATTCAAACAATGTGTCAGCAGATATGGCGAATGGGGAACCAACAGAAGCAGCTGATAGCAATAATGGCGGCGGAGTTGCAGAAGGATCAGTCGAGGAAAAGGAGAAAGATAGGGAAATTGAGTGAGTTTTTGGGTGAGGAATGGTTGGAAGTTGAGAGAGATGAGAGGAATGGGTTGAAGAATGGTTTGGAGGTTCCGGCATTGGAGCTGATGGGGAAGCTGGAAGTGTCGTTGGGGTTGTGTGAGGATTTGCTGTGCAACGTGGCGGAGGTTCTGGGCGGAGAGATGAGCGGGAAGAGGAAGGAAATGGAGGGTAAGGGTGTGAAAGAAGGGGAAAAGAGAGGGGAAAATGGAGTGAATGATGTGTTTTGGGAACAGTTTTTGACAGAGGTTCCGGGGTGTTCCAATGGTGGGGAAGTTTATTTGGATAGAAGGAGTAATGTTTTAAGGTAGATTAGGGGTTTGTAAATGATTTAGATTTCCTTCTTTGTTGTTCACATTACAATTCATTACCATTCTCTCCGGGAAAGGTTCAAATTTTATGTTGCGTATCTTCTTTATATATAAAACGGGAATATTATATTAGAAGGTTTAATATGTCGTTCTTATAAAATTTATAGTTTTACGATATCTATGTACAATAGGAGAGAATAAAATACAAGAGGATTGATCAGTTGAATGAGACAAAATTGAAGAAAAAGGAGAGATGAGCCTGGTCGAGTCTAGAGTTTTGTTTATCTAAGAAAGCCTTGAATGACTCCTATTGAGTTTGATGAGAGTTGTTTACCTAAGAATAGCGTGGTCGAGTGATCCTACATTATTGGCTCTTTTGTTGGATTCATATTTCATATTATGTGATCATCTCCTCCTCCTCCTCTTCTTCCATTGTTTATGTTTGTTTTTTTTTTTGATCGAGGGCTGATTTCAGTTGTAATTTCATGGTGTTTTTTAGCATTTGGGTGGTCAACTGGCATTGCTCACTAAAGGGCTCGGTTGTTTGTGATTTGACTTTTCTATATCAGTGACATTGCTTTTTCTATAATAGTGACATTGAGTTTGAAGAACCTTAGTGATTTAATTTTACTTGAGGACAGAGCTGAGCACTTCACTAAAGTTTCTTATTGAATGAATTGACTGCCTAACTGAAGATTGTAGGGACTCAAAATGATAGTATTAATCAGCTTTCAGAGTCTGCACTTGTTGATATTCTTTCTTATTTACCAACCGAGGATGCTATAAAGATGGCATTGTTTCCTAGATTCAAATACATGACTAAGCCATGTGTTCCAGCTTATAGAATTTGTATTGAAGAATGTCAATGCCTTAGAGAAGATGGAAGATGGTCATTTCCACCGCGAGGACTCTCCGACCCATTCACCAATATGAAGTCTTCAAACATGAGGTTGACAATCCGAAGGATTATGTAGAAAAAGCCTATTAACGTGTTCATCCGACTCAAAAGAGAATCAATATAACCAAGTCATACTAAGAATGAACAAAGCATTCAATTTTAAAATCTTATTAAATCACTATGAAAACCGTTCGCAAAGATCACTCAGAATATAGGCTATTATGTTTTGAACGACAAAATGGAATTCTAAATACTCAATATCCTCTTCTAACATGTAGCCTATCATCGCATCTTTGTCACAATAAATAGACAATAAATAGACAATGACTCAAAAATGGTGTAAAATGGAATCTCCACAACAACTTACAACTTGGACTAAATAACTTACCAGTTTCTTCAACGAACGAGATCCATTTGGAGTAATCAGTCTGTTCTACTCAGCAGAAGCGAAAAGTAGGGATGCATTTGTGCCTCCAAAGCCAAAGGAATTCGACAAAGCTATTCGAATTGGCATCTGTTTCGAAGAGGTTAAAGGCATGAAGTTGTCATTAAATATGGGGTCTGGTTCCTTCAGATTAAGAGAGGGTGGTGCTACACCCTGCAATAAAACAACAAAGCAGCCATTAGGCTCAAAGAGTACTGCTGTTTGCTTAGTTAGGCATCTTAAAAAGGGATGCCAGTTCTTGTAACAGTCGATGTCAAAGAAAACAACATATTGAAAGAGCTAATTCTGCTTACAGTGTGTATGGCCAAAACAGAGAAAATTGCCTCAACAGCACCAGCTGCTCCAAGAAGATGACCGACTGCACCCTGAAACTCGATTTTCATTCATGTATAACTATCACGAAACGTTGGCAAAAGACAAATTTGTACAAAGACTGAACTCAGTGGAGTACTAGTTGTGTGCATATATTGTGTCTCAACATTGCATAATGGTTATATACTCGTCCTCAAAATGGACCTAATTGCCCTTCACTCTTTTTTTTGCGTATGAATGAACTTCTTTCCCAAACGTTGGATAATTCGTAGAATAATCCAACACTTTCCAGATCGTGGAATATCAGTTATATTATTAGAATATGGTCTACAGGTGGAAGAAGTTTTATAAGTTTTATTTTCAAAATTCAAATGATTATCAAACAATGCCAAAGCAGTAGAACAATATATTTGGCTTTAGTTAAAAAATTTATAATAAATATATGATTAAATTACAATTTCGTCTCTAAACTTTGAGGTTTATGTCTATTTGGTCCTTGAACTCTCGAAATAAATTACCTTTGTGGATGAAAAGGCCAAAGCACCTGATAGTGCATGGTCAGCGAATACAGATTTTATAGCAGTGGCTTCCACTGTATCACCTAAATAAAAGACCCACAAACATAAATTACATCTATAATACAACATTGACACAAAAATCACACTAAGCAACTTGTAAAAGATAGAAATTTTTACCCAAGGGTGTAGATGTAGCATGTGCATTTAGGTAATCTACTTGGCAGGGATGAAATCCAGACTGCAATTCATCAAAGGAAAAAAAAAAAAAAAAAAAAAAA